CAGAATAGCAAGTTCTTTTACGGTTCCGTAGTAACACAACAAGCAACGCTTAGAGTTTCGCCAAGTCAGTCAGTCTATCCGTTTGTCCGCGGCTTAGTGCAGAAACTATTGATATTCTAAAGGACTGTAATTTGGTAAAATCAACCATGAATACAGAAATAAAAAGGCTCTTAGTACCATAAACAAAAAGTGGAAGAACTTAGGTTTTAAATAATAAGCCAATCATGATAAAACAATTGTTTTAACATAGATATTTTAATAATTGCAATAAAATGCTTTTATGAAACAAAAATAAAGTAACTTTACTTATTAGTTAGAATAATAAATATAAAAGAATAAAATTATTAATAAAATTAAAAAAATAGTTTTGGCTGATCTTAGTGATTGTAAAACATCGTCTATTGGAAAACCGTATTCAAAGAAAAAAGTTTGTAGTGGTTAAGCTGGGCAAATAAAAGTGCCTTCACTCTTCCTTATATATTATATATATATATATATATATATATATATATATATATATATATATATATATATATATATATATATATATATATATATATTTCTTTATACAAGGACAGTTTGCAATACAGATATTATAGCACACAAAGAAGAGATTAAGAATTAATACAAGTAATTAAATGTACAAAAAGAATTTAAGAAATGAAGCCGAAAATAAGTTGTCTCGATTTAAAAGGCAACCGTTACTCCGGCGGCGCGAGGCCGTTTAAATGCAGACTGCCGGTAAAAACGAAGACGCCCGGACTGTCACGAAAGCAACCCGAACATAGCCGAGCATTTCCGACCGCAACCGACAATATATAAACAAAATAAAAAAGATAAAACTGCATGTCGCCACATCTAGTATCTGGACGTACTGAATTGCTTAGGAGTTGGAAGTGCTCTTGTATCATCAGGAGTAGCGTTAGCCCCATGCATCATAGGCACAATCGACGACGCACCAGAACTACCTGGTTCATTCGTCAGGATATAGACCGGTTTCAACTTATCAATAGAGATGTTGACTATCCTAACAGCAACGTAATTTACAACGTATTTTACGCGTACCGTGTCGAGCAACTGTTGTAGGTTGTAACTTTTTTCGTATGTAAACGCAACCTGTCCAGAAAGTCGACGTAATCGGTCAGTCTGTCAGCAGTCGGTTCAAACAATTGCCGGGTAACTTAAGCGGTTCTCCGTAAACTAGTTTACCAGTAGAAACAGACAAGTCGTCCTTCCATGCACTACGAATACCTAGAAGTACAAGTGGAAGTTTCTCAGCCCAGTTCTCGTCTGCGTGGCACACAATAGCTGCCTTAAGTTCTCGATGGAAGCGTTCCACTAGACTAGACTAGACTGATACAGCGCGATGCTATGGCAAGATTCACATCGGTTGTGAACAAGTTACTTTGATTAAATATTACATATTGTTTGATTTGAAGCCGTGGCTTCTCAGGCGCTAAACATATGCTATGAATTTCGCAATATACACAGGTTCGAAGCCTGCCGGCATCTGCGAGGAAAATGAAGTCGAAGACATGTGAAATCCGTAAACGTGGCGGCCACTTCCTTACACACCCTCTGTGAGAGAAGCCCACCTACCTACGTAGGCCGAAATTTAAATTTATGCAAAATTTAGGATGAACAAGAAGTATACTCCAATTTATTAGGACTTCCGGTTCTTGACGATATTAGATGCATTACTTAAATTTATTTAGATTTTTATATTTGTAGTAGTAAATATAAGCTGTTTTACATTTTTAAAAATTATTATGGATAGCATTTTTCACGGCTCCAAAGCCAAAACAAAAACGTCTATTCTTTTGTTATCACTGGATAGCTTATCCATTAAGCTAAATAAGAGAGGCACAAAAGCTAGTATATTATTTACAACATTTAGTATTACTAATGGAAACAGTTGGAGGAGGCCTATACCCGGAGCGGGGCCATGTCATAAACAAAAACAATTTGGATTTTTTTTCTTTTCTTGTATGTATGTAAATTGCATGATAATATAAAGGCTTAATAAATAATAAATAAGTATTACTAATACTACTAAGCCTACCAAGAAACCACTGCTATAATAGTATGTAATTTGTATCTATTTCATTTGAAATCATCAACATGGTTAAAAACGCACGTTTTGGCGTCTAGCGATGAACTTCTACGGGCTGTTACTGGAAGAAAAAAGACGTGTGCGTCTGTGCGTGTTGAGTTGACGTTACGGAGTCACTTAAAATGTACGCAGTGTTTTGTCTTTCTATCTTTCTGGTCTAAATTTGTGAATTGATGATTCATTTTTAAATTAATAAAGAATTCGTCCAACCTGATACTAAAATTAACAAAAATAAATTCATTTTTCTAACAGTTTTTTACTTTTTCTGTAGGAATTTGAGATAGTGAAATAATTTAAAAATATCACAATAAATCTAAGGGATGTAATCTTGTTCTATAATACTCAGCACAAGGTTATTAAGACCTAAAAGTTAATAAATAATCCACCGGACCGCATGCTAGATTAGATAATATAAATCATATTTGCTCATCTTGAAACTTGATATCTTGTATTATATGTTATATAATCCTCGGCGTCGACATATCGAGCAGTTTCGTAGTCACTTGGTAGCGAAAGGTCAAAAAAAAAAGGTTGCCTATAAAAAACTTGGCCTTGGTCACTTGGAAGAGAAGGACAAATTGGCCTCAATAAAGCTTGGCGTGCTCAGCAGTGTGGAACAGTATTTCATGCCGTCGCACCGCTTGCAACTTTACAAGGCGCAGGTTCGGCCGCATATAGAATACTGATCCCATCTCTGGGCCGGGGCTCCCCAGTGCCAGCTCCAACTATTTGATCGCATTCAGCGCAGAGCCGTTCGAATCGTCGGCGACCGACCTCTTTCCGATCAGCTTGCCTCACTGGCACTACGAAGAGATGCATCTCTTTGCGTATTTTATCGCATTAACCACGGGGAGTGCTCTAAGTAATTATTACAATTTCACCATAGACAAAACTCACGATACCATCCATTCCATGTGAATGACTGGCGGTCCACCAAGAAAGGAGCTTACTCCTTTTTAAAAGGCGGCCAACGAATCTGCCAGTCCCCTGGTGTTGCAGTTGTTCATGGGCGACTGTAATCACTTACCATCAAGTGAGCCGTATGCTCGTATGCCCCCTCTCCTATAAAAATAAATATATAATTGATCAATAATGAAATAAATAATATATATAATGAAAATATGACAAAGATATTAGATCTTAGATCCTAGATCTTAGCGGTCAGCCGCCGTAGAGTCTACATCACCTGAGAATGCCTCGTGTAGAGGCGAAATACGTGTCGTATTATCGTCGATGGTGTCTTACGAGGAATAGTAGTGTTGGGAGTAGTGGTGCTGGGACTAGTGGTGACTGAATTAGTGCACGCATTTGAGGTATGGCGGGTGGTGCTCTTCAATCCAGGTAAGACACATCGTATTTGTCGTATACCACGTATTGTATTTAGTTAGCGGTTGATATTTTTATTAAATAAATATATATCGTATTTATAATTTAGTATTATAATTTTGATAGGTTAATATATAATAGTGTAAAATTGACCCCAAGTGCAGTGAATGCAGTAAGTTGGTATAATTAGTTATGGAACGTTGAATTCGAAATGTTGATTGCTACTAGCGATTCGTGTCCTACCTACCGTGTCCAATTGTGAAATCATCTAAACCATCCGGTGTCTACCTCAAACGCACACAAAAATTTCATCAAAATCTTTTAAGCCTTTTTTGAGTTTTAGGAAAACTAACGGAGAACAATTGATTTTTATATATAAAGATTATATCGAACACAATTACTTCTTGATAAGTTAATGTATCACATCTTCCTAGTAGTGTCGTCTGGTCGGATAATACAGATGCATGAACGATTTTTATTACAGTTTTCATAGGTAGATCTTGTGTTTATTATGGTGCTTATATTTGAGCGAATTTGAGCGGTTTCTTAACTACACATCCCTGCAAAATACTATCCGTACAATCGGCCGTTTTGCAAATAATACTAATAATATAATTCAGTCTAAATTTGTGTCTTAACGGCGAAAGCACAAGTGCACTCTCTTATCTCTCACTCCCATAGTCCGACATGACCGGAGAGAAATCAGACGCAAACCAACGAATTTACGTGCTTTCTGAGTCACGCGGGTGAAACCTTGCCTACTTCCTCACTACCAACTGCTACTGAAAGTTTCTTGACAAAACAAATCAAGTAACTGATTTTGGTCTAATACTTGATTCGAACCGGAAATCACATGATGAGCAGTCGCGCTTATGGCCACTAAACCTACGAGGCAGTCAATTCGTTTTCGTCATATACATACATCGCATCACATCATGAAGAAATCGCGGAAGACTACAGTTTACTATCTAAGAAAATCGAATAATTTAAGAGAATAGCAATCTATTCACTCAGATCTCTAAATTAATCAACCATGTTTCTTGACTGTAAAAGTACAAACCACGCCCTCCTTTTGAAGATTAAAATACTGTACGTCATCAACAAATTTAATTTTCACCAATCAAGGTTAGTCGTCTTATTAACATTCTAACAACACATTTTATGTTACTAGTAGGAACTTATAATAGCAGCAATTACAACTGTTGCTACCTTATTTAATTTTCTTTATATTTTGTGTTTAAGTTTTTGTTAGATAAAAAAACCATTGGTATAGTTTACATGATAGAAATTCCAATTATTTAGCAGCGGGAGATCGTCGTTTGTTTGTATCGATTTCACCGTTTAAATCATAATAAGTTATAGAAAATGATGGTTTTAAACTAGCAATATTTACGTGTCAAATGTGAAATAAAATAAAATTTTAATTATAGACTCTTTATTACTAGTTTTAATTCTAGGGTAAAAAACGTTCCTAATTTAAAAAATATAATAATATAGTTATGATACAATACTTTGTTCAGGCACTAGCAGACATAGTGAGCATGCTTTTGGGTATACTCCGTTATAATTTAAATAACTTATCTAAGATCTTAAACTGAAATAGTGTCTGTGGATGTCTTCGTCGCAATAATGTGGTACTCTCATCGATCCAGTTCCTTAGTGCAGAAATTTTAGCGTAAACTCCGGGATAATTGGGCCGAGCGCAACCAAGACCCCAAGACACAACTCCAGCCAACTTGCCGTCGTACGCCATTGGACCCCCACTATCACCCTAAAACATAAAGGCCAACTCAGAAGAGATTCAAATTTCCAACAAGTAACCGTTACCGTGAAAGGTTATCAAAAGTTCACTGCTGAGTATGTGACATATTTGCCATTTTTGGCAGGTGCTTTTGCAACCGCAAAACTAGTTATTAAAATTGGGAAGACGTTGCTGCCCATCTCCTGGTTTGCTTTTTGTCAACTCTTACGACCCCCACGATATAGGATAGTAGATATACTTACACAGCCACTACATGGTGACTAACTAGCTCTACAACAAGTAACATTTTAATATATATATTTTTTTATTTTATAGTATGGGGTACAGAAAAAGAGCACACAGTCCATCTGATGGTAAGTGGTTGCTGTGGCCCATAGACACCTACATCTATCCTCGATTACGAATCAAAATGCAGATGCATTGTCACCCGTGAGAACTAAGATGGAATGCCTCATTTTCAGTAAAAAGGGTCTCCAGTTTTCTACACTCATCATACGAAACACAGCAGCATTTAAGCTACTATTTTACGCTGGTATTCTGTGAGAGCGTGGTCCTTCCCCGGTCAAGCCGACCCATTCGTGCTGCAACAATACTACTAATATAATTGCAGCATGGCTCTACCACGTAAACAAATATTAACATAAAATTGTTGTCGCTGGTTTTACGTGTTCAGCAGGTACTTTAATTTATGCCAAAGTTGCCTGTAATGCAAAGCTTTTAATGCTTTAGTATCAATAAAGGCTAATTGTACACAAGTCGATAAGGTCTATATTTCAGCAGTAGAATCTGAAAGGTATATATGAATTCCGCGGGTATATACTAAAGCCCGCTGCAATGTATTGTGGTTGCAGTACGAATGGATGAATGAAGAAGGACCACGCTAGCACATAATATTAGAGGAAAATAGCAGCATAAGGATAGTGTGTTTCGTGTGGGGCGTGACCAAAAATAAATTACCATTTTTACTCTTAAAGAGTTAAAAAAATATGTCACGAAGAGAATTTAATCGTCTAAGAGCATCTCAGGTTAGGACAAAAGGAAAAAAAGAGAAGAAAACTGCTGTATAAAAAGCTGTTTTTACTAACATTTTACTATTTGAGAAGACGTCAATATAACTTAACTTATATTAAATTTATAATATTTGTAAGAGTGTATTAAAAATCTAAAACAACAAGAAAACTTGTCTATGAGGTGAAATCCTATTTGTATCGTAAAATATGTTAAATAATATATTTAATTTACCTGACAAGCATCTTTACCACCTTCTGGAACTCCTGCACATAACATTGTCGAAGTAATGCTATACATCGCGGAATAAGCGGCACTGCAATCTCGCGAACTTACTGTTGGCACCAGTACCATTTGTAATGTAGACGGATAACCACCTCCTTCCTGGAAAATATGGTTTTAAATTTCATCATCAACATTATTAAAACAACGTATCAATATCCACTGCTGAACATTAGGCTTGGCAACCTCAGATTTTATTTTTATTTTTACCACACTAAAGGCACGGTTTTAAAATTATTATTTACAAATTGTTATTGTAACTTAAATAATATGATTATATGCGGTATGTATTATACATACCACACATCATCATATTACTTAAGTAATCATATTATAGTAGTAGACTGAACCAGAAAATGCGCAGCATTTTTTTTAAAAAACGATTCATGTAATAAAAACCTCGCACGCAAAACCTGACAAAATCTATGGGACATTCCATGGAGGAGGCTTATATTCAGTAGTAGACTTTTATAGGCTGTCAATCATAAGTGCTAATATACTTTGTCTTGTAATTTTAGGAAAAAAATTTGCTGCTACTATATGCATTATTTCAAATATAATGTATGTTTAAAATTCGTTTAAAACAATAAACAGTATTAACACTATTTCATCAACTCGTAAAAATCACTAATGTGATCGCAATAACGGATATGTATTTCACACCTATGGTATCAAAATCCTGTCAGTCCAGATATTTTATTTTGGCATAAAAATAAATAGATTGTAAAACTAAGCTTTAATAAAAAGCTAAACCTTTCACCAACCTTTCATACAACTTAACCTTTTGATTTGACATTTCACAAAAATTAATCGTCAAATTAAATCAAAAAAATATCACTATTGTCAAAGCTTACGTGATTGCTTATATACAAAACAACAAACAGTCGAATTTTAAAACTCCTCTTTTTTAATTTGTTAACAATCCCTTAGGCATAAATACCAGGCATAGCGATAGTCGCCTACAACAACACCAAGGAATGGAACAGCGTCAGAGACTATATTACGCCGCGGCTACGTGGCAATTTTATGTTTTTGATAAACAAAGATGGTATCAGGAATTTACTTACTCTAAGGTTTCCCCACCCAGTAACCTTTGCAATATCGCCGTCTTGAATTTCCTGTCCTTGTTTCAGCATTTCAATAGGCGCAACACCTTCCCTAAACTGAATAGGCTTTGTTAGCCAAAGTAATGCTACGTCGCTATCCATTTTCAAATATGTAAAATTAGAATGCCATATCAAATCACCAACTGGATAAAGTTCACCGCCTCTTTGAGTGGAAGAGGAACCAACGCGAACTAAATAGTCTCGTGGAATGGTACTGAAATCAAAAGTGTTGAAATAAATACTCTAATTTATTGACCGGGTAATTTTTTTTATTCGTCACAAGAAGCTCGAATTTGATAACATGTTATAGACAATGTCTAAGGCTGATTAAGAATCATTTTAAAAATACTTTCGGTTTAAAAAATTACATCTTCAACAGTAAAATATAGTTCCAAAAGTACTATAATACAGGTAAATTGACATTACAGATTCATATTATAATTGAGACAATACTTCTTATATGTACGATCAGAAAAACAACTGATTGACTTGGCGTCAATCAACATAAAAGTAATAGAATTGGCAAAAATGAAAGTCTCTTGTATAATTCAAAGTTAACAACGATGGAAATAAAAATATACAAATTATTAATGTGCGATACTTATATGTATATTTTAATTTTAGTAAGAAACTATTTAAACTGAAAATAAAATAGAAGTATCATCTATAAAATATAAAGTAAAAGTTGCATACTCACTCAACGACACAATGTGCTGCGGTTATAATTATATCATTCGCAATAATAGATCCTCCACATGAGTGTCTACCTCTCTTAAATAATGAAACTTGATATGGAGCCTCTGTAATATCTATGTCCTCACCACCAACAATTCTGACATCTTCTTTAGTTTTGGTTGTAGAAAGTGATACTGAAAATATATTGATTTTGTTATATTTAAGCAAACAGTACACATAAATTATATGGATTTAATCGCGTTTAATTTTTAACATTGTAATTCTTGATGTTTCGGGTGCTTAACCGCACATATGTTCAAGGACCACCTATGGTGTTCGTTATCCTGATATTTGATTCATTTTAGTAGCCAGGGTTAACTATAGCACCAATACATTTTAAATTAGATCTATGCTGCAGCTATCCCGAGGTTATAGCACAAATGAGTTAGCTGGTTAACCACGCTCTCATAGAATACCAGCGTGAAACAGCAGTTTGATGCTGCTGTATTCGGTATGAATATAGGGAACCGGAGACCCTTTTTACTGGAAACTAGGCATTTCATCTCAAATCTCAAGAGTGACAACGATCTCCATTTTGATTCATTAGCGAGGATAGATGTAGACATATATGGGTCCCAGCATCCTTTTATGGTCAGATGGATTGTGTTCTCGTTTGTCATCGTTAGTCTCTAAAAAAATCAACTGCTTTGTTCCCCTTAAATTATAAATTATTATATTTTGCGGTATATAAATTTAAAAAATTTATTTTGCGTTTAAAGACCCTATCATCACTGTACAGCGAGTATAAGCTTATAAAAATTGTTATTAAAACAAAACTACTTACCTACTACACCAAAAATAGTAAAAATCAACGACAAATACAGGTACATGGTGTAGTAGTCACAATCACTTCTTGGCAGTATCTCGTTTTACGAAAGTATATTTATACCTTAAAGTAACAAAAAATATTGGGTCAATATAACTATCAACGATAATAGTAAACCTTCACATGAATTCACCCGCAATGACAGATAAGAGATTCAAAGATAATATTTGTAATTATTGTGAATGGAGTGTGCGATAAGCTAAACAACTTTGTGAGTTTTGTGATATAACGTACTCGTATAGCAGCATTGATATAAATTGATAAGAAACAATTCAAGTCTCGGACGTCAATAATTTATTACGCACTTTACATTTTTAAGTAATAACAACTCATGGTATATACATAAATTTATAGTTTAACCCTTCAATCTCCATAAAATTTCCATGCAGTCGCATGCGTCCGTCAAATCCCGAGCGGTTCCATGCGACCGCACCCACCCACAGCACTTTAAACTATTAAAATTTATATTTAGAGACTACTTTGATAAAACTGAATTAAAACAAAATTCTGTATCCTGTGGTCTAAGTAAATGTCAATTACTCTATGTATTCTTATTTTTATTGTACTGTCAATTTACGACATATTAAGCCATAAAACACAGCACTTTTAACCATAAAAATTTATAATTATAGACTACTTTTCTATAAAGAAGTTTGATATTATATAATCTATTCTGTGGTCTAAACTAATCAATAACTCTATGGATTTTTATTTTTAATCTACCGTTTTCGTATGGTCGGCAAATGTCGTAAATTGACAGTAGAATAAAAAAAAATACATACAGTAACTGACTTTTGTATAGACCATAGAATAGAAAAATTGTGTATAGATTCTATAATGCCAAACTTCTTCATAGAAAAGTAGTCTCTAAATGTAAGATTTATGGGTTAAAATGATGTATATAACCACCGCACTTCTGCTCTAACATCCGGAGTAGTGCCGTCATAGAGTAAGGAATTAAGGAGTTTCTGAAGGAATTTAAGTACTGGTTTTTCACTTGCTTTCAAATGCAGTCTAGAACGACTGCAGCAGCTATGAATATAATTTTGTATAATTATCAAAAGAAATTGTGTCAGTAGTAGTATAGAATTAAGATATCGCTGTAGGTCATGAGCAAGTTTCATTTTTCAGAATCGTTAATTCTGTGTAACCTTGTTAAAGGAAGGAATCTAAATAAATTAGATTTCTTGAACTTCATAGCTGACATTGACTTCATTATTCAGAATTTTACGTCAGTTATTATAATTACATTACTTATCATAATTTAAACACGCCCTAGTAATAGCGGAAAGTTGTTGAGAATAAATGTTTATTGTTTAATTACATGCATGTGGTAGAGCCATGCTGCTGCAGTTATATACTTGTAGCACATATTAGTTGGTTCGAAGGTGGAAGAACCACGCTTTCACAGAATATCAGCGCGAAATAGCAGCTTAATGCTGCTTTGTTTTGTATAGTGAGTGTAGATAACTGGAGAATCATTTTATTGCGAATGAACGCATCTTCATTTTGGTTCTTAATCGAGGATAGACACGTCTATTGGTTACAACATGCACGTGTCATAAGGTGGGACTGTGTGCTCGGTTGTCACCCTTATTCTATAAAAAAATAGTGTTTACCTAGATAAGCTCACTGTCACGTTGGGCTTTTTATTATAACAAATTCTTCCATCCATCTAGTAGGGCTCCCACTCGAACTTCTATGAAGCTGTAAATGCCTAACTCGCTAACAGTTAAAGCGCATCGAAAGACGACGCTGTCATTTGAGAACCTTCTGTCAACGTTGAGTTCTGGGTGATTTCAGATACGTGCTTGATCCTCAACCACTTCATACTACATATAACGGTCGTATGAAGTGGTTGAGGATCAAGCACGTATCTGAAATCACCCAGAACTCAACGTTGACAGAAGGAAGGCCATACTAAAGCTATATTAGTAGGCTGGTATTCTGTGAGAGCCACGCTCTCACATAATAAATACCAGCGCAGCATAAAAAAGCAGCTTAACGTTGCTTTGTTTCGTGTGGTGAGTGTAAAGAAACGGAAATCTTTTTTACTAGAAACGAGGCATTCCATCTTTGTCTTCAGGGGTGACCACGCATCTACATTTTGATCCCTAATCAAGGATAGATGTGGATGTCTATGGATCACGGCGGCCACTTGCCATCGAGTAGATTGTATGCTCATTCATCACCCTTATCCTTTCAATGGCCACACGGTCGGATCCGACCAAGGCGATGTTCCGTCAAAATTCAAGCGGTCGGATCCGACCGCACCCGTTATATGGTATATTAGAGAACTACAGATCGAGTACACTTTTGAGCTGCATTTTCGTGCAATGTCATGCATGCAGAATCGATGATTTCCATCCAAGCGAATAAGTCACTTTCTGGAGGCTGAAGGCTTTTTCATTACCGGACCAACACACCAGATAAGACCACATGCATACCCTTCGTAAATTGTAAAGAAGAAAGAAGAATGCAATCTACCATTTTTTCTTGCGTATGTTAACAATTATGAGTGAGCCCTTGATTCATTGCTTTACCGGTACCAAATAGACTATTGGTATATCAAAGTGCTGAAGTATTTGTAAAGTAGGATAGAATAATATTTACATGGGCAGATAGATGTAAGTTAGGGAAGTTATATCTCCAAAACTTTTTACTGCTGCATTGTAAGATAATTTCATGCTGCTGGATTGGAAAGGATACTGTATTAACATTACACCTTCATTTAACCACGATATAGTCCTTATGGCAGAATCGCTGAAGAACCTTAGTACTATGCTCAGTGACCAGTCTCTATTGATAGTGTCTTTTAACGGATCGGTCTTAAAAAGAACTTGGACAAAACAAATATCATGTGTAAGGTCCATGTCACATCTATGCCAGTAGTTATTGTGAGCAATTTTCCGATTAGGTAACTTCCACCTCAATCAATACATACGTAATGACTTATTAACAGTAACTACTTTTGCTATTTTACATTTGTTAAAAGTTGGTGGAATTTCTTTTGGCTCTATGCATTATTATAATACAATCCGAATTCAATCTCTATTTCATATTCTATTTTTAAATTTAATAGACGTAATAAGCTGTTATTCTAAAGTGACTCTAGGAAAAAAGGCACGGTCCTCTATACTTTGGGCCCTAGGAATTAAATAAGAATAAAACAAATAGATATTACAAAATTATCGGGGGTAGATGATCTGTTCTTCAGTTATGGGAATATTTTTACAAACGAACAATATAGTTCTGGGTTATTAGCAGTCACATACAAGTATTGTGTTTAAAGTATATCAAATATTTATCATTATTAAAGTGTATCATACTTTGGCATTGTGGTATTGTTATTCACATAACAGTTTGACAATTATATAAACCTACATATTTACATTACAGTTGCATTTGAAATGCAACGAGCATTCTTGGAACGATACCACGGGAAGAAGTAGGTACTGTACGACAATTAAAACTTTTAGTTTTAGTTTTCCTTAAAAGTTTTTTTTAATATTGTATGTAACCTTTTAATTAAAGTTACAATCGTATTTTTATTTGATATATGATTGACATTTTCAATAAAATTCTCCAATACTTTTTTATTTTTTGAAAATATTATATGAAATTTAAAAATATACAACAATCCATCGGCCACTACAAAACCATAAAAGTTTTTAATACATATTAGGTAATAATCATAATACTATACTGACGTAAAATTCTGAAAAAATGAAGTCAATGTCAGTCAGCTCTAAAGTTCAAGAAACCTAAAAGAACCTTCAACGAGGTTACAATAAATAAATGATTCTAAAAAATAGAACTCATTCGTGACCTACACTGCATATCATAATTCTGATTAGGTGCTACTGATACATAAACGTTTAGTTAAATAACAACACAAAATTTATTTTATTAAATAAGGATTTTTTACAAAAATATCAATAAAAACAATTCAGCACAATTGTAAGTAAATATGAGTTTAATTGGAGTAAGTACAAGACATAGGTACTGTTGGTGATGTAGGCCACTGATGTCGTCTGGGAGTAAAATAAACTAAAAAATTTTGGTGAGCGCGTGTACATCCGCGGGGAGGGAGACATAGGTGTCACCCCGTATGATGTTATAGTGCAACTGACTAAGCGCGGGATCATGAACTCCGCGGTGCAACACAAATGTGCAAAATATACCAACATCCTACAATAAAATTCGCGGTAAGTACCACCGTCCCCGTATGCACACGTACTTATTTATTATAGAAAAACAACAAGTACAAAAGGTAAATAACAATTTCTTATGTGTATATATTTTATATATACTATGTTTTATTAACTAATATTATTTATATTTAAGATATCCGAGAAGCAACGTGAGCGTCGTTAACATCCTCCCCCCAAGTGTCGGTTCGCCGACACTCATTACCAATCTGGAGAAAGGCCACGCGAGCAGCTGATCGTTTCATCACCCCTGACTTAGTACTAACGTCAACCACTCTAACTATGCCGTCTGAACCTGGATACACCTTTTCAATAACACCCATTGGCCAACAGTTGCGAAATAATGATGGATCAACTATTACAACAAGATCCCCTACTTTTAATTGCGGACCTTCCCTATCCCATTTACGACGAGGAATTAGCTCTGGCAAAAACTCTTTTACCCATCTGCTCCAAAATAAGTCTGTCAACCGTTGTGCAATACGCCACTGTCGTCTAAGATACATGTCTCCATCATCAAAGACCCCGATTACAGGTAAGGTCGAAGAAGATCCTAGTAAAAAATGATTTGAGTTAATGCCTCTTTGCTTTGAGGCTCCACCGAAACGTGTGTAAGCGGTCTACTATTAATTATATTTTCTACTTCAGCGAGAAGCGTTAATAAAACTTCTTCTCCTTGGAGAGAGGTGGAGCCCTTTCTCTAACAACGACTTTCAGTGCCGTTTTCACACTTCTGATCAGGCGCTCCCAAGCTCCCCCCATAGGAGGGCTGGCTGGTGGTATAAACTGCCAA